CACACACACACACACACACACACACACACACACACACACACAGGCACAGGCACAGCAGCTCACTTGGCTGACGGTTTGATTTCTTGCCCGTTTTTGAACCACTTGACTGAAGCTGTGGGGTCAGCCAACTCCACTGTGAGCTGGATCTTCTTGCCCTTTTCCACAGAGTACGCCGAATCCAGCTTGGTCAGGAAAGCTGAGACGAAAGTACGATGTTAGCATCTCTGTTTTAATAGTAAAATAARCTACGCGAGCCGACCTGAAGCAGGCTGACACACAGTCCACCTGTCGTCTCGGCTGTAAAACGTCTCTCCTGAGGCCTTTTAAAAGCTGCTAGTATTTACAGCCTAAAGCCTTAAAGAGGTCTCCCGTCCTCCCCGCCATCTCACTCCTTGTGCTCAAGTCTGCTTTTGCCTCGTAAAATCTCTCCTGTCTGTTCCTCACCGTCACTCTTCTTCTGCTCTGCCTTCATCTTCTTCAGCCTCTTCAGCATGCCCCTCAGGTCTGTGATGCCGTACTGAAAGGCAATCTTCTCGTAGTCGCAGGGCTTGGCTGCCTTTAGGATTTCCCAAACATCCACTTCTTCTCTTGGCTCCTCCGGCTTCTTCTCCTTCCTAAATGTAAATATTAAACCACATATAAAAAAAAAAACTCCACATAGATGAAGGTAAAGGATGAAGCTCTGGATACCTTTTTTTGAGCAGCACGCTGAAGTCGAGGTCACCAGCATCCTCATCTGCATCCCCGCTGGAGGAAACAGAGAGGATGTTTCTGATTAATTATGGTGTATTGAATCTATTTTACCACATTTATTATTTAAATAGAGCAGCAAGCCGTCAGCACTGGAGATTTAGTATTTTCACTTAGAAATCCCTTTTTATTCCTCATTACAACAAACTAAAAATAAGCACAGAAACACAGTAAAGACATTTATTTAAACAAATGAACTGTTTTTTTTTAAATGAATTAGTGTCTTTAGCTAAAGCTTACCCTTGTTTTATCCAGTTCTAAAATAAAATTTAAAAAAATGAACCGGCGTGAAAATAGAGCAGAACTACAAGTTTACCTCTCGACTCAAACAGATTAACACAAAGTCCAAACTTTATTTTATCCTCTTCAAAGTTAATTGAACTTATTAAAGCCTGGTTCGTTTACATGCACCAGAGACTCTTCCTCTCAGCACGTAGCTGCAGAGGCTGCAGGAAAGGTTGCTCACAACCTGGTTTGAGTAAGACATTCATCGTCTCGTTACAACTGAGAATCACTAACAAACACTAACTCAGCTCTACCTGGTATTTCCTGCATAGATACAGTTTTAACATGTCCTCTTATAAACACTGCAAAGAACTACGTGTACGACTTACTAAATATGAAATAAATAATATAGAAATACTATTAAAGGTAAAACATTTTTTTGATTTGTTTTGTTTTTGACATTCCAACAGGGAATTCCCACTTGAGGAGTGCTCTGGTTTAAATGTACAATGTGTAAGTGGGAAATTCCCACTTCCCAGTACAAATGAGCTACAGAAAATGTAGCCAGGAAAAATGCAGCAAAGTGGAGATTTTACCGACTATTTTTAAACCCTGTGTAGCTCCACCTGGTGGTGGGAGGCCATCGTTTTAAAKTAATTAACATGCATTATGAGAGATGTAGTTTATGGTCCATACTGGCTTTAAAACAARTTATTTTAGGACATTATTACAACTTTGAAGCTCTCACAGGCCACATAAAATGCTGAAGTGGGCCACATTTGGCTTGCAAGCCTTGAGTTTGATGCATGTGGTTTAAACCCTGATGGTTACAATTCAACAGGAAAACCTTTAGTTATGACACAAGATCTCATTATGCTGCTAATCTAGAATTTAGGACATCTAAGAGGAAGTTTAGAGGAAGTTCAGTTAAAAACACCAAAATAATCTTAAATTAATTTAAATTTAATAATAGTTTGGTAACTTTTCCATGCACAGAAGTGGGTATAAATGAAGAGAACTGTCTTGTGTTGTTGTCAGTTARGTAACAAGGTGAGATGTTGGTTCCTGTAACTCCCACATTTATACACAGCTTGATGTTTCTGTTCCACCCTGACTGATTTTGGCAGATCTCTTTTTCTGGAGTGGAGCGTTCTCCTCGTACGGTTGATGTTAATTTCACACATCCGAGGCCAAAATAAATGCCCATAAATTCTCCCACATCCTGGACGATCACGCTTGTTTTATGGATGAACGGTTTGTCCAAGGACAACATCCATCCTCTGATAGTAATAATGTTCTCGTTCACGGGGCAACAAATGGTTGGATGAGCATGAAAGCGATGTAAGCTGTGRTCAGCGTCGACGGTGTTCGAAGTAAATCAACCTCGTTTAGAAATTTGGAGGCTTTCTGGAGCATTTTGATGGGCGGGCATCAGTAGATACCAAAGTGAAGGAGATTTTTTTGGAGACATTATTTCAACATCATTGAAGCCACTTAATTGGTTGAGGGTCAAGCTATATGTGCATAAAACTTTTAATGTGAAAATCCCYTTATGTGTAAACATGGGTGGAGTGACAGAAAAACGAACAAATRAGTCTTCATGTACGCAGCTTTTAAGGGCTGAGACACTTTCCTGCAGATTCTGGAGCCTCAAACGCAATAACTGTAAGCTTCTYACTGGCTTTCACATTTTAAATAGATAAAATAAAAATGTTATGTCTTGTTGCAGCAGTGCTCTTAGTCCATCCTCCTCCCTCTCTTGAAACAACAAGCTTTCTTTAACACTCCGAGCTGCAGCTGTGGCACGTTTCAGTCGATAAAATGTAAAAACATCCCAACTTACAGTCTGAATCCTGAAATGAACATTCGCTTTTTATTTCTGAGAATAAACATGGTGCAGTATTCTAAGGATATTTTAAAAGTGCCATCAAAACAATCTCAGAGTGTCGWGTCAGACTACAATAAATGTTTCATGGGACTTTTCTGGCTGAAGGACTTTTACTTGGTCGACCAGTCAGACGAAGACGACACTAAAAAAGAAAAAAAAAGGTCTGACAAGCCTTGGAAATATGAAGATTTCCAAAACATAAGACAAGCCAAACAGTTCAACCTATTTCAGACTCATTAAAACTGATTCAGTTTTTAGAAGTAGGCACATCGCCGGCCCACTGTCGTTCATGCCAGAGTTTTAGGCTGGGAGTCTCACGCTGTAAGAAAATTCTGATCAATAATTTGGAAGTCTTGTTCCTCTTCTAAAAGCTTTATTCAAAAGTCTGACTCAATTCAAGCCCACAGCAGTCAGCAGCCAGGCCTCAGAGTGGAAAAGAAGGCCTTGGCCTTATCAAAACCAAAACAATCCATCCTCTCTAGCAGTCTGTGCCAGGCTGAATCTACGAGAAGACCCAAAATTCATTTAATGATGAATCAATCTCTTAACTACATCTGACTTCCTGGTCACAACCCTGGAGGCGGTGCGTTTTATGTCAGATATTAAAACGTAACCGACAGACAAAAAGGCCTCATATTGATAAGACACACTGACTCTGTTCCTCTCTTTAAATCATATGGCTACACAGAGTGTGAAATACAAGACTGGAGCTAAAATTCAATTAATAAGTCACTAAATTTCCTTCACTAAGAAATGAGTTGCATTTTAGTCAAACCTTAWATGCACAATCTCATGTGATGTCACGCTCAAAGTGTTGGCTCAGCWACTATGACAATAAATATTACCTCAAAATCTGTAAAATTTGTTCAAATGTATCCATTTTTGTGTTTTCTAAAGTCCTGAGCCTTCAAAACTTTAAGAGCAGTGGTGGGCACAGTTTCCCTAAAGCACTAATAGAGGAACTAATTTCCTGATTAGTGCTTTTGGGCTTTTGCTAATTTAAAAATTTATTAGTGAATTAGCACTTGCTAAATTTATASYKTAAATTTAGAAGCATAACTGAYGTCWTTAAACGTTATTGATCAACATTYATGTCAACAGCTGAGGGTGAAAGCTGTCACACATTTTGTTCATGTGTGTCACTGATCCACCAGGTGACAATATATGAACCTAAATCCAGCTGTGGAAAATGATYAGTCTAAAGAGATCAACATGTGACTCGTGTTGTCTGTTGAAGAACGTTCATGGGTTGACTGGGTTATTTTAATGCTTTAGAATTAGCTTTTGCTAAAACTTTCAGTGCATTAGTGCTTTAGAATTAGGGGACCTAAATATTTGAGTTAGTGTTTTAGGGTTTGTGGAACTAATTTTTATATTAGTGCTGCCCACCACTGTTTAAGTGTTGTAGATAAAAACCTAATACTAAAACACATCCAGTGGACAGACATGCAGAAGCACCATGGCTCTGCCTTCCTGTCAGCGGCAGGTGATAATATCCTGCCTTCTGAAGTTTCAGCTCCTCTGCCTGTTTCTCTCAGCTAGCATGTGTTTGTCCTCAGACTGTGTGGCTTCACTCTGCTGTGTTTTTGCACTTTTTTAAATCCYCTGTCAGTGCGTGTTTCTTCCCTGTGACACATGCAGAAATGTGACCTGGGGAKTGCATTTGGGTGTCGACGCGACGCCGAATGTGTCATAACACCGAGCGGCTTGGTGTCTTCAAACTCTGTGACTGGGACTGGAGTTTCTGGAGTCACAAACCCAACTTGTTTAAAATGTGGAAGAAGAAACAAAAACACCCAGCAGGTAGGTTTGCAACGCACTGAAACATGCACCAGAGCCACACGAAGAAGGTGTCACTGAAAACATTTGCTCATAATATTCATAATAATAATGCTTGAAAAGCTTACAGCTCCTCAGATTGAGATAAAAAGTTTAGTGTATCGAAGAATTGGTCATTTTCAAACTTTTATTTTGCCATCCTCTGTCACCTAAAACTGTCATTTATTATTGCTGAGTTGCAGATGACATAGTATCGACATCACAAAATGCAGAAGGGGGGCAGGAAGTAAATGCAGCCGTTTCCTTCGGTTAATACAGCGGTGTCCAAAGTCGGTCCTAAAGGGTGATTAATTAGTGGGCAAGACACTTCACCTGCCTTGCCTACTGATGGTGGTCAGAGGGGCCGGTGGTGCAGTATGGCAGCCCCGCCTCTGTCAGTGTGCCCCAGGGCAGCTGTGGCTACAATGTAGCTTACTGTCATCAGTGTGTGTGAATGAATAATGCATGAAAATTGTAAAGGTTCTGTGAGGGTCTCAAAAAGCGCTATATAAGACTGATGCATTATTATTATTATAAAAATGCCATTGTAATTGCGTACATATACAATGTGCAAGTGGGAAATTTCCACTTTCCGGTACAAAAGGGCTACAGAAAGTGTAGCCAGGAAAAATGCAGCGAAATGGAGATTTTACATCACTGCATTTTTCCTGGCTACATTTTTCCTGGCTACATTTTTCCTGGCTAATCGGTATACCGATTACTTTTAAACCCTGTGCAGCTCCACCTGATGGTTATTCAACAAGATTGAAAAGCAGACGTATACCGTATTTTTCGTGTATAATACGATCTCATGTATACTGTAGTCTGGTACAGAAATTTGGACTCCCATTCACGCAAAGAAATACAGCGTTTGATAGATAAATCATCAAAAATGACACATTGTATCATAGGCTCATTACGCAACGAGCAATAAAGATCATCAGTTTTTTTCCCAACGGCTGCGCCATATGAATTTCCTGAGGGGCCACATGACTGCAACCCAACAATAATAGTGTTAAAAAAGGAAAAATGAAATTTAACCAATCTAAGAAGTGCAAAATAGAATCTGACAAACACTGTCAATGATGCAGTAAAGAGTAAAGTTTTGTAGTGCATTTAGGTGTGATCCTCCAGATTTACCCTCTAAAGTTAAATCTGCATGACCTCCAAGTAACAATGCATTTTTCTCATAGATTATCMCTCCAACAACACAGTCGGGCCTTAACGAACATCTCACTTTTTATTTATCGCCCCAACCTCCCCCACTGCACCCAGTCGCTCCTTCAAATCACCACTCTGCAAATAAGCCCACTGACACGCTGTCGAAAGCACAATATGAAGCTGTCTGTTCGCATGTTGACTCCCTCATCTTACCTGCGCCTCTCTGCTCCGGCGCTAATGAAGGACGGGGAATCATATTTTCAGACGCAGGCTACAAATATGGAGCTCCGTGTGTCAGAGCGAAGGTGATTTACTACGTGGCACACATGCTGATGAGCTGAGATTAGTTTTTTTTTTTTTTTTTAAAGGCCGGAGCAGAGATAGAAAGCTGCAACAGTGATGAAACCAAACCTTAATAAAGTTGGGAGGTTTTGTAAAAGCACAGATTTGCAAACTTCAGGTGARGCAAAGGCAGCAGAGGAGACGTGACAGAAAGCGAGGCACAGCAGACTGACTGGAACAGAGTCTGCTACCAGTGAGGGATTGACACACGCACGGGCGCAGACACTGGTTGGGACTGACAGATGCCCYGAGGCAGCGATCTACAGAGGGAGACTCTGTGACGGCTGACATGTTGAGTCGACGCTCCGCCGACACTGACACTCACGATCGCTTAAAAGCCTCCAAGATGTTGTCCTGCTGGTCCTCCTGTGCAGCTGAAAGCAGACAGAAGAAGAGAGGCTGGTGAGTGCTCAGCCAGGTTAATTCATTACGCGGCGGGCTCCGGCAGCACAGGAATAATGAACTGATGACCCCGCGGGGCCGCTAAATGATGGGCCCTAATGTGCATCGCACTCACTGAGTTATTGGCTGACAGAATTGCTTACATCGCCACGCTGGACGAGCTGAATGGAAGATGACAATAATGTGATTAGGTGTGTGTGTGCGGACCCACCCTGCACGCACACTTCGAATGCGCAGCTGTCGCACTTGTCTTTGGAGGTGACCTCGCAGCGGTAGCCACCTGCGTCTCCGTCCACCACTTTGATGATGCTCATCTCGTAAGTGTAGATCTGACGGGGAGACAGGATGATATGCTAAGAACACGCAGGTTTATAACACACACACACACACCGGTGCACACAGATGTGCGGTACGTGCTCACAAGCACTCACTCGCTGACACCTGTTTGTTRATAAAGAATGCTGGTTTTAAGGAGTTTACTTGATTAAGCTCTAATGGTTCCAAATGTTACATTTTGTATTTAGGGCCTGTTTGGGACACTTGGGAAGCCATTGGAACATATTGCAAATAAAAACATGGCACTTGGCAATRGTGGGACACCAGGGACTGGGAACAGTCAGGACACTGGGGGGCCAAGCCCAGGTCTTCCTCTGGACACTTTGGAACAATCGGGACATTTGACAGCCGGGCCCGCTTTTTCCTCGGACACTTGGGAACAATTGGGACGTTTAAGGACCGGGCACGTTCTTCACCGCATATCTCATTCCACAATTTTTCTGCTATTTTCAAAAATTCATATATCAAACCGTTCATTTCCTTCAGGGCATTCCAGCTATGACTTTTGGTATTTCAGTTATTTATAATTGTTTTTTGCTATTTCACTTTTTCTGCCACATTTTCCCATTGAAAATGAACGGAGCCGTTTTCAACATCCTTAAAACTTTTCAAAATGTTTAAAAATCTTTACTGTGCTTCATAAACRTTTCACTGGTTCTGCTTATTTTAACTTCCTAATGCTAATTTTAGCATCTTTTTTTAGCTAATTTTAGCTTTTTTCTGCTGTTTCAGCTAAAATTCTACTCGTTTCTGCTATTATTCAGCTAATTTCTACCTTTTTGTGCTTCTTTCTGCTAATGTAATCTTTTTGTGCTTCTTTCAGTTGCTTTATGATGTTTAAGCTGTTTTCTGCAATTTTAGTTACTGTTCAGCTGTTAATAGCTGAAATTTTTTTAAAGATAAATTCACATTTTGGTGGCCATTTTATTTCTTTCTGCCGAAATCAGACAACATGTACTKCTTCTGCTTCTTTATGCTAATTTCAGCATTTTTAGCTACATTTTAGCTGTTTTACTGCACATTTTAGCTACTTCAGCTGTTGTACAACATATTGTCACTTTTTTGTACTTTTGCTTTTTTTCAGCTAATTTGACTTATTTAGTATATATTATACTATAAATATATTTAATATATTTATTRTTAGCTATAGTTAGCTTTTAGCTAGAGTTTTTAGCAATAAGAATCCATACTAGCATTTTTGCAGGAAATGCAGTTTTTCTAGTTTTAACTATTTTATATGAAGAGAAGCAGAACTGAAAATGCTATAAATCAATAAAAATAATACATTTTTAAAAGTTTTGACAGAGTTCACACAGATGATACATCTTTAATTAAAGCTTTAGGTAAAAGTTTGTTGTGKCACTCCTCCACCACCTCACGAGCATCATGAGTAAAACAGTCCAGAATAATGTTTTGCTGAATTTGATCTCTCCATCTGATTCTGCCGGGGGGTCTCAGTCCTCCTGGGGGTCTCAGAAAAGCCATGAACTTTGATCAAATGGCAGCAGTTAATGTGAGCTGAATGAGAATGTGTTGTTGAACACCATCAGAGCTTCAAAATACCACAAAATACGACARGGGCCTTTGAAGCACGTGTTTGCAAATTTCAAAGTAACCGTTGCAAAGTCATGACAACCAGAGACAATAAAATGTCTGAAGCAATAAACAAAATCTGCACTTTTTTCAAAGTCGAGGTCTCTGCAGTTTATAGGGGGAGTTTCTTGTTTGTGTAATTGGTCGGATGAACATATGGGGCATGTTAAAAGAACACGTAAATATAATTTTTGACTATAAATTGGTGCAACTAACACCATTCTGTCTCGAGTTATTATTACTAAAATTATGCATACTAAAAAAATAGCGCAATCTGCTGGCTGCGGTGCCATAAGACAACGTTTGCTGTGACTTGGTGTCAGAGTTGTAACATAACTAATAACAAATACTTTAATTCTGAACTAGAAATTTTGATTACCTGTAATTTACTTGAGTAATTATTTTTCAGCTGACTTTTTACTTCTACTCCTTACATTTTTTAAAAAACGTAAGAAGTAGAAAGTACATACAGCTGAAAAAATACGGGCACTGTCTGGCCGTTTCAACCGATTTACACGGCCCCCAATCTGCCCAGCATTCATCCAACCAAATAGRTACAGCTTTTTCAAAACCCACAGAAAATAGTCAATCCTACCTATCTTTAAAAAAACGACGCCCACAAATGTCAAACAGACCAATCATGTCTTGGACAAACTCCTCCCACAAAACACGAAACTCCCACTTAGTGACTGCAGTGACCAACTTCTCATTTTTTCCTCATATCGATGGGTAATGTGTCATTAAACGTGTTTGTTTACCTACAGAAACAGCCYAAGTGACTGAAAATTAGAGCTTAATCAGGCACCTGGTTCAAACTTCCTCATGGCTTTCAGCTTTGTTTACATTGAGTGCATGCCTGCATATTTAGAAAACTAATGGAGTAAACTCTTACAAACTGCACCGTTTATTAAAGCTAATGAAGCAAAGCATGAATAAAGGCTCAAACACACATAATTAACACAAACCTTGGTGTTTCTGTCATAAGACTCTTTAAACTGAATGTGTTTTCCAGCTTTGCTCGCCAGGTCCAGCCACTTCCCCTTTAACCATTTCATCCCCGGCTTCCTTGGCAGGCTGGACGCGTCCACTTTTACCACAAAMGTAATGTCCCTCCCTGCCAGGAAGAGAAACAGTGAGAAGCAGTGGTTAGTTAATGCCGACAAATTGTTTTATAGTGGATATAAGTCAGGGGTTTAGTGGTGARCACCTTTGGTAGCAGTGACGCTCTCCGGCTTCACGACAAACAGACCGGACGTCCCCGACTGCTGAGAATCCTCTCCTGCTTCTGGGATTCACAAATTAAAACAAGTGAACATGGACCTGGCTCCACCGTGATAAATGCACAGATAATAGACAGCATCAGGAGACAAAGGGACCGAGCAAACCACCAAATTATCTTCTCACTTAGGGAGAATTTGTAGCTTTAATTTAAAGGTGTCAAACCACTAAATTACCTTCTGTGAGCTCAGGGGTTTTACTCCCTTTAAGTGTCAGCRCAGGACTGAAGCTGAGCAACAGGAAGTTTCTGTTCAGCACGTTTGCTTGTCTTTGCTGCTACGTTATACGAGACAGAACGTATTACAGTCGACTAAAAAACACTGCATAAAACTAACATCTAAACACTGAAAAGTCTGACTTTTCTTTATGGATAAGCTGTTCCAGCTCCTGGGTGATTCTCTGGGTAATTTTTTYGAGAACTGTGGCTTTTGATTAAATTTAAAAATCCAAATTAAATCCCAAGTTTAAATCACCAAAAAATGAAATGCTTTCGCAGCCCATCTGCAAATCATCTGACCAAAACAAGCTGTTCTTTTGTCTGTTTAATTATCATGCGTTTAAATCCTTCTTTTTCACATTTAAATCCTTCAGTTGGGTCTTTATAAAGTGGAACTACAAAGCTTTGGTCTGAATTCCTCCTTAATCTAACTTTACCAGCTCCTCTTTCACCACTTCTCCACTGTGTGTCTCAAAGCAGGTCATTTTGTTACTGTTGAGTGAAGCCCCGCCCCCCTTCGGCTTCCAGACCGGTCCACTCCGGTTTGAGAGAGGGGGTTAGCATTRTCTAGCTTGCAGAAACATTTTATTTCCAGTTTAATTAAAAGATGTCAGCAACAGAAGACTTGTCCATCCAGCCTTGCATGTTGGAGTCAGAGTCTGACCCAGAACCAGAGTCTGACCCAGAACCAGAGGAGAATTAAGACGAGGAAACTGCAACTATGACCCCTCTAACTGTAGACAGTTTTATCAAAATAATAAATAAATCTTTTCTATGAGGATCTACTGGAGGAAACCAGCGGCTGACAGAATGGGTCCAGGGTCAGATGAGGTCACTGGTCTCCATAAATTCAAAGAGCCGTGCTGTCGGCGCCTCTGCCCCCCCTCCCACCGGCCTCTCTGTTTTTATTGGCTCGTGTAATTTGATCTTTTAATCAAATGCACCTCTGAGAATAGATCCAAGTTCAGATGTTGGGGATGATTTAAAGGGTTTCACTTAGAATGCTAAGTAGGAAAAACTGATCTTGGAATGAAACCCGGGGGGACACATTTGAATGTTTACACACTTAGACCATTACTGCGAATACTTCCTGCGCTGGAGATGAAGTTTCTCTGAGGAATGAACTCCAGATTCTGTGGCTGGTTTTAGAAACTGGGGATTTAAATTTTGGACAAAAGCCGGCAGAGTTTTTTTTTTTTTTCCATAGGCTATTTATACTTTAAGAACATTGACACGCTCAGAAACATTTTTGGATACATTTTACAGGAGTAAAATTAATAAAAGCTTTGTCAGAAGGTCAAACTGATCATTTAAGAGTTGTCTTTGTTTTAGTGATAAAACAGATTCATTAGAAATTAAACTGTTGATATTTTATTTTGTGTTTAACATTATTTACTTTTTGTTCTTCACTTAATTCAGTTGCTTTTTGTCCTGTTTTCATGTTTGATTTAATGTTTTTTTTTTTCATTTTTCTATTTTCCTGTTACTTTTGCTTTATTTAATTGATCATGCCTGATCTCCTTTTTGTTTAAAAATATCCCTGTCACCATTTGGATTCTTTTGTTTTTCTGTGTTTTCTGTCAGATTGTATTCAGAACCTCTCCGGTTTCTGTTTGATGGTGTCCAAACAGCTCACTGTGGATTGTTATATTTAACATCACCCTGGTAATTATAGCAGCTGAATGATGAAAACAAAACATGTACTCACTAGAGAATGTTGTTTAAAGGAATAAAGTCATTGGTGTAATTATTATAATAAATATTGTTTAAACTGCCAATATAATGAACTTTTTTTTTATTTTGCAGCAGTGGCCATCACTGCAACATCTCCTGGTTTTCAAAATGATGCTCTGATAATTCAGAAATGACAGACAGAAGAAGCAGAAGCAGGTGAGGACAGGACCAAGACAGGAAACTTTTTTCTGAACTGCAGCGTGCAGAAATGTGAATATTTTCACACATGCATCAATAGTGTCTGGGTCTCAAAGGGGCACCTGCAACATACACAGTCTATGGCAGGCCATTTTAACATTAAATCATCTTCACCACAGTTGCTTTCCAGATTTCTGAAATTGGTTCATGCCTAGACATAGGCTATTAGTTAATTAAAATATCTCTAATTCTATTTTGACTATAGGCAAAATACCTATTTGACATATCTTAAATTACATTCTGACTAGTATGAATGACAGAATTACAATTAAGTTGTACGGAGGCTCCAACTCTTGATATATTAAAATGAATTTTGACTAATCAAAAATACAGTTCCAGATATCTCTAAGTTAGTTTAGACAGGTCATTATCTGCTTTKAACATATTTCATTCTTTTGTTCTGACCAGTCATAAATCTAATTAAGGTTATCTTAAATGACATCATTATTTAAGCTACAGTAAATATAAATTTAAATATGAGATTTGACTACTGCAAATTAAATTGCAGATCTCTTGAAAGCAAATAATGACTCTAGAAAAACTAAATTAGAGATATCTAGAACTACAATCAAAAATCTCATTAAGATATCTCTAGATGAATTACAGATATCTTGAACATTTTTTGGAAACACTATTTGAAGGGGTGTGCATAAGACTGTCATAAATATGACATAACACCTGTCATGAACTTAAATGAGTCCTCATGAATGTTTATGACTGTTGTATTAAGTGCCATTCGGTAAATTATGACACTTTTAATGCAAAGTTGACATTGTTTAAAATGTCTTTTTATGACAATTTGACATTAACCAACACGAAAAAAAGGCTTTGTTATGAGGAAATATTAATGACAATTTTAATACAATAGAGTATCTCTAGACAAGTTAGAGTATTTATAAGCATTTGTCAGTGTAATGACACTCAATGACATCTTTATAACTAGTCTAACATGTTCCACTTTAGGAAAGGGAAAATATTAACGACACATATGTTGGTCTCATGACAGCCAACGTTAAGATTAAAAAAATGACAGTGTAATAAAATGTTAAAGTTGATACTTAATAGCTTTTATAACAGGTTTCTTGGTTAATGTCAAGTTGTCATACCAAAGACATTTTAAACAATGTCAACTTTACATTAAAAGTGTCAACACACTTGGGTCTTTTCCTGATACCATAAATAAACGACCAGACCTCTGATATGGCTCTACTTCATTTATTCCTGGCTACGCAGCATCAATATCACTGTCATGATCAAACAGACACCACTCAATCAACCATCWCCCCTCCCAAAACAGAAACACAAAGCTAAAAAGTGGGAACTCAATATTGGATGTTTAAATCAGCCCAGTTTTACATATCGGACCGATACCAATATGAATTCCGATATATTGTGCATCCCTACAATATATATATA